CCCCCCCCCCCCGCCTGGCAGCAGCCAGTGAGTAGGGGCTTTTTTTTCTTTTTTTTTAAGAACTGGGAGCTGGGGCTGGGAGAGCAGGCAGGGGATGGGGGTTTGTGACAGAACCCCCCATGCAGTGTGGGGCAGTGGGGATCACCCCCACTCCTGGCAGCAGCCAGTGAGTGCTGGGCTTTTTTTTTCAAAGAGCTGGGGCCAAGCGGGGTAGCCATTGATGGGGCTGGCAGAGCAGGTGGGGGATGGGGCCTGTCTGATTCAGAGATTTGGCTGATTCAGCAGCTGCTGAATGTCCAAATCAGATTCAGCCAAATCAGTTTGGGACAGTGATTTGAATCACCAAATCAAATCACTGCCCCCAAATCGGCCAAATCTCAATCCGAAGCAAATACTAGTCGCTTTGCACGGGCCTACTGGTTTTCATACGAACTCCTTACAGATGCACCTATGTACAGATGTTTAACACCAGAAGAACATTTTCTTTTAGGAACTACAGTTGGGTCATACTTTTATATATAATGCCATGCTACAAATGAACAGAACAAAATAGCAAAATAGCAAAATAGCAACCTTGTTGGTTGCTCTCCTATTGGAGGATAATTCAGTGAAGTAGAATCTGCATGATTTCTACTTTTGATGTGCTTTAGGCAATGGATGGACATTACATGTTTGCCAGGAGAAAATCCTTTCTCTGGGGACACAAATCTAGCATACTGCCATTCAAGGGGTTGCTTGCAGAAGAGAACTGTCTCTTCAGCAAAAAATTGAGAGTACTTCCAACCAGGAAGATCTCTCTTCTCTCATGCCATCCTGAATAGTTATACATACCTCTCAGTACTATAATAAATCCTTGGCTGTCCCTCCTCCCCACCAAGGAGGATGGCAGGTAGGAGAGAACTGGCTCTCTGACAGCTTGCCCAGAGGCCTGCTGCCATTGTTTAAACACTCCAGGAGAGTCCTTGGACTTTTCAGGTCACCTTGGGTCTGTTCATTCTTCTGTGGGTGAATCCAACTTGAGCATCCCCAGCATGAGTCAAGCTGTAGGGGAATGCCCTCAACCCATCAATTTGTTAATTGGCAGGAGTTTGAGGGGTGGATTCCCTGGGTTCCATGACACTCCCAGTCACAGGCTCATCTTTCAGCCCCTAAAGCCCATCGAACCCAATGGAAAGTATAAAGTTAACTTAAATAACCTCTACTTCAGGCTCTAGAACAATAGTTCTCAACCTTTCATGCTACCCCCTCATTGGAATCAAGGCACTACATGGAAAATTCCAGCTCTTAGCTGTCTGATTTTTGACCATGGAAAAATAATATAGCAAAACTTCTGTTGCAAAGAACTCAGAAAGACCACAACAGGTCAGAATGTTTGATGCTATGGATTTCTGTTTGAAATCTCTGGTTTACCTTGTGAATCATGTCTAAATATTTGCATATCTAATAGGGTTAATATTGTCCTTAAAAGGATATTAGCACTCTGGTTCAGAATCACTGGTCTAGATTCACCACAAGACCTCTTGTGTGGGGGAGGCCACTCATAGCAGAAAGAATGCAGGGCATGGAGGCTGCCCTGGCAAAAACAGAACACAATTTCACTATATACTGGGAGAAAAAGGAATCAATGTCATCTAAAGCAATGGCCTTGAAGAGGAAATTTGCAGGACTGCCATCACCTCTCAACCAAAAAATTGTTCAGACAGCTATAATCCAGCCACTTTGGTAGTTACATGAGCCCTGCAGGAGGGTATTAGTGACAACTTTCCTGCCCTCACTTAGTTTGAATCCCCATTTGAGCCTTCATGGCCTGGAAGAATAATTTACACTTATTTGCATTGGCTTTTGTCGGTGTGGCCCACTAAGTCATATACTTTCTATATGATGTAATATTTTGTTTCTTAACCTTTGCATTTCAGGACGGTTTTATTTTTTTTTAAGTTGAAGACATTTAGTGTTTCTTTAAT